AAACCCTGCTCACTGGTAGTACAGCAAAGGCTCCTCTTTTACCTTACATTCACATAGCCTGTGAAAATGCAATTGCAATATCATTTACATAATAGCTTCAGCCAGGATGTACGGTACATTAAAATTAGGTCCACCAGATCTTTTAAAAACCTCCAAAGCTGCTGATGACAGAAGCCAAACAGAGCTCCTTTCCACCACATGGTGCTCATCTCGCCGTAACAGTTCCACCTTTTCGCCTCTTCCATCTCCTCTTTCCCCTCAAGAGGTCACACCCCATGCTGTAATGGAAAAAAAACAGATTGCTGAAATGTCTTGCTCTTTCTTTTTTATACACCTCTTATATCTGGTGCATTCATACCGTGGTAAAGTGTATAATGATGTACGCAGTGATGATGACAGCACCGATGACAAACGAGGCAATCCCCAAGTGGAGAGCTTTCCGACCCAGCCGTCTGGAGCCATCATAGTCCTCGTGGGTATAGCTCTTCTGGGCCTTTGGGACAATTACGGACATTACCGTACATGCTCACACTGTGTGTGTAATGTTTTGTGGGCAAATGTGCTGTGAGGAAAAGACTAGTTCCACTTTCCCAATAATAATAATCCTCATAGTGACACACAGCACGTGGCTTTCATGGGAATCTGCACCGAACATTTAGGAAATGATTATTTGTGCGTTACATCTGCACCTGCCTCTCATGTTGTCTCTAATTCATATTTGTATTGTAGCCAATGTCCTAAGCAGTGGTAACCACAAGTTGCTAAGCCTGCATGCCTCATCTTATTACTCACGGCTACAGCAATGCAGCAGCTGCTGTTGGCACTCACGCCGTCTCATCTGACAACTCAAAGACTTGACATCAGTCTAAATGCATCTTTGCTATCTAGTCTTCAACTTTGTTCAACTTTGTGCCACCCTGGCTGGTAATGGATGTTCTTTCCTGAGCTTTATCCACATGCTGGTCTGATAGCATCGTTGTATGGAGCATTACTGTAAGCAGTCCAGGGTGTGGTTGGATGCTTGGAAAGAAACAGGAGGTATATTTGATCTTAGCAAACATCAGCAGAAGCGTTAATGTTAGGCCACTCAGAAACGTTAAGTGGGTTGGAATAACTTTACACAGTAAAGATGCAAATTTCTCACTTGACTTATGTTTGCTCCATATTTAATAACTATTGCAATCACCCCACGTGGTCTGTAGTTTTTCCCAGCAGTGGTACTTTTACCTATAAAATATGCATTTATGCAGGATAACATATGCTTTGATTTTTTTTACATTTATTTGTTTATTTGTTTTTGTTTTTTTAATGCCAGCATACCTCTTAAAAACATTATGCATTCTAACCCACAGCTATTCATTAAACTAAAAAAAGACAGGATTCAGAAACCTCACATTTCCAGCTTCGAGCAACTTACCAGGACAGAGAAAACCAGCGCCACAATATTGATGGGCCACGCAGGACAGAAACAGGTGAACATGGTGAGCCAGAGGTAGCTCCTCATAGGGGGAGTCTCCCGAGCCTCCTCGTTCTTCACAAAGTCAGAGCTCCCATCCAGCGAGGGCTTGGTGTTCATGACTGGCTTCAACACCCGCCGAGACAGTAGAAAGCAGAGAGGCGAAACAACAGCACTGAGACACTGGGAGACACTGGGAGGCTGGAGGTGGAAGCAGGGGAGGGGAGGCAGTGGAGCAGCGATGATGGAAGATAGAAATCAGCCAGCAGAGATTATGAGAGAGATGCAGAGGAACAGAGGCAAGAAGCCTGAGCAGATACATTTATAATGTTTTACTTCAGACTTGTAATCATGCATTTTTTTTGTAATCAATTATTTATTATCGCCTATATAAAAGGAGGAAGTGAAAAAAGGAAGAGAAGGTACCATCAGCTTAGTCTCAAAGGTGACAGAGCAAAATATGACACAAAAAGGTCCACCCTACCCTTTTTCCTCCAACCTCATGTACCCCCATACTCAGAACCCAGATGGTATACGTTAATGCGGTCAGAGAGAGAGTATATGAAAAAAGGAACACATAATGGATACATAAATAAAACATTAATTTTTAATAAACACATTAAAACTCTGCATGCCTCTGTGCTCCATCCCCTACTGCTCATGTATCGTGTACAGGCATGAAATAAAAAAGCTCAACAAGGAAAACAGACTTAAAACAATACATATATATTTCAACTAATTTATCTAGTAGCCTATTACATTCATAGGAATGTGTTACCTGTAATTTATTATTATTGATGGCAATGAAATGCACATTTAAAGCAATAATAAAAATAGCACTGTGCTAAAGCCTTGAGCCAACCCTCATTTCTTTACATTTTGTTTCCAGACCTTCTTAAGATGATCTTTTTCCCAGGATTTCTCAAGGTTTATTTGGACATTGGCTACTTTTTCAGTCTAGTCCTTGTACCTGACCATTGTCGAAGGAATGCTTTTGTAACCCACTTACCACTGACCCAGCAATCGTCCAAACACAGAAAAGGCACCTTTCTCAAGGGATGAACCAGTGTTCTTTCTACACGAACAGCTTCTTTGTTACTAGACGCCAGGTTAAAAAAATACATAATTTCTTTAGTCAAGTCTACGAAAAATGCCAAATACAACACAGTTTGAGTTATAAAATAGTATTTTCACCAACAAGGTGATTCCCAAAAAGCTTGGGTATATCTCAGCATGGTATGCAGTGTGTCCTTAAAAAATTCAGCGGAAAGTGGTTAAGTGGAGGATAAAATTCTTGTCACTGATGGATTCTCCTTCTCAGAGCCCGGACCTCAACATTATTGAAGCAGCGTGGGATTGTCTTGACAGAGAACAGAACAAACAGCAGAAGAGCTTTGAATGTCCTCCAAGAAGCCTGGACAACTATTCCTGAAGACTACTTCAAGAAATTAGAAGACATCTGCCTCAGATAGTTTAGACTGTGTTGAAGAATAAAGGTAGTCATACCAAATATTCATTTTCAAGCTTGTTGGGATCCTACAAACTCCTTTTATGTTTGCACATTTCAATACATCACTGCATCTAATTCTTACATTCCTAATAACATATAAAGAAATGTGTTGCTCAAGACTTTTGCACAATGCTGTTTTTATGGATTTTGTGCAAATTTAAAGCAACGTGGAGTAAAGCTGGTTCTCCTTTAGAGCATATCATAGTAAAGAAACTAGAATTACACATAACATTGGGGTTTTTTTGTTTTTTTTAAAAATTGAGTAATTTTATAAAAGGCTTATTTTTACTTATCGTTTTGTACTGAAGTTTATTACAAATGATAATTCTGGACAAATGTTAAGACGCACTAATTTTACTCAGCAAAGGCCATCTGCTGTCATGTATTTGTGCCAAATCAAGCCAATAAATGGAGCTATAAATACAAGATTTTTTCCTTAGAAATAGTAGTTTTAAATGAAAAAAAGCAAGTCTGTGTAGGAAATCAAGAAAAACTCAAACAGGACACAAAAAAGTGGAATGTTTTAAAATAATTTATTAGGAATAAAAGTTAAAAAGTTTTGCTTTCCTCCAAAGGAATAAACACGAGAAAAATGAAAATCAGAAAATGTTACAGTGTTGACAAGATTGTTATAATGCAGTGAAATCAGCATCAGAGTTTGAAATACCATGGTAGTTCGCAGCAGACAGAGCGAGTGTACCAAAATGTTTAAAAACCTGGTATTTTGTAGATGGGGAGTGCTTTTTTATTTTATCGTGTCCGGCCAGTGCAAAATCCTAGTAGCTCTGAAAATAAGTGTTTTGGTCTAAAAACAAAACAAAAGAAATAAGTCACATTGCTACAGTCTGTGACCTCCAGTGGATATGCAGCGATGGATGGCTGTGGGGTGTGTATGACAGGTAAACAAGAGTTAATAAGACCCCACCTTTCTAAAAGGTTCAACCACCCACACTTTTATATCAATGTTAATGTAATAATAATAATAATTAAAAAAAAGGGTCAGATTAAAATTTCACATTTGCAGCAGAGGTACCCCCCCCCCAAAAAAAAAAACAACAACAAAAAGACAAAACAAAACAAAACCTGGCACATTGGAAACCAATGTGAATAAGACCAAATGACACACAAATATCAACTCATCTTGCAGAGGAAATCAGTCAGAACGCAAACTGTGCACGACTGCTCCATCGTAACAGTCCTTCATTTGCCCTCACAATCATCACGTATTTAAAAATCACAGTTAAAACAACAAGTAAGAAGTCGTGTTTTTCCTCTCCCAACAGGAGTGCTTCCACGCCCCTCGTCTCCGAACAGTAGCAAGTGTTGCTCAGTACGCAGCCCCTCGCCCGCTCAAGTAAAACTCTGACGCTGCTCCTCAATGTCGTAAGACTCACGTGACGCATCATTTATAAACGCCTGGAGAGAAATACAGTAACAGACAGACAAACTGAAATGTTCTCGACCTTCATGTGAAACTATCAGTCAAGATTGATAAAAGAGATCGTACCATTTCGCCAAAACGCTCCCGCCTCCCTGACGCAAATTTTGCAGAACCCTCTCACCCGCTAACCAGCCGTATTTACAAAATTTTACAAAATTGTACACCTCATGAAGGCCTATTACGTAACAGAGACTAATGACCTTTGTCATCTGACCATTATTAGTAACGAGTCATTGTTAAAAAAAAAAAAAAAAACTACCAAGATATACACTTTGTGACACATTTGAGAAAAAGTATTAATCCCCAATGTTAAAATTCAGTATGAACTAGTGACAAATATACAGCTTTCCAGTACATTTTACATCTCCTGACCTTCAAACAGCCATCACCTGGAGATTAAACTCCTCCCATCTCAGAGAGATCAGATTAAAGAGGTCAAAGAAACCAATGAATCACAGCCAAAACAGATCATGAAATAACACAGCCATCACAAAAACATATCAGAGGAAAAACACAAAGAAATACAGCATCTGAATGTGTTGCTATTACATGTAGTGATAAACGTTTTTGCTCCTTTTGAGAAGGTTTTTTTTTTTTTTTTCCTTTAAAGCCCCCCCCCCCCAAAAAAAATAAAATTGTGGTGGAGTTTAGTGTGGTGTCAGTAGAGTCAACTGGATGTAGCTGACACCAGGGCAGGTTGGCTACAGGTTAGGCCACCCCAGCCGGAGACGTGGACTGGACAGAGACAGGCCAGATCAGCTCCAAAGCAGCTTCAACTCCTTCCAGCTCTCAGTCTACAGCTCTGCACTGACACACAAACCGGCGGGATTACTCACAGGTTAGGCAGCACGAAGCACTCGTATGTGTTACACTTAAAGGATGACAGCTAGCAGGAGGACTGACTCACACTCTCAGTGATAGCCGTTAGTGAAGGCCGTGGCAATCAAAGGGCCCTGTGGGAGCAAGCATGCAAGGTCAGTATGATTTCATATAGCCTAAGAGCTACGCTGACTACTTTTGCCATCTTGGGCTAAAGGTGGTAATAACTGGAGTTGGAAATGTACACACACCAAAATAAGCTGTTAAATGAGGGCCAGATTAATTTTTTTAAAACACCAAATTGTAGAGTTGCTGAATCTGCTTCTAATGTTTATTCTTGTGATGTTCACTCAACAAGTTCATTTAATCACTCAACATTTTAAGAAAAGCACTTATTTGCATTCTTGCAGTGGCAAATAAGATCAGTTAATACCACTCCTGCATCTGTCCATTCAACAGGAAGCAATTCCCACAGTTAGCTTAGCACAAAGACTAAAACCAGAAACCACCATCGCTAACCAGCATGTCTAAACTATTTTTGATTGCTTCAATGAAAACGGTTTAAAAAACACTTTTGTATAAAAAAAAAAAAAAACATTTTTAATGTGAATTGCTGTTTAGAAGTACTGTTTCCAGTCTCAAGCTAAGCTAGCATGGTGATATATACAGCCTTATAGACTGTATACAAAAGATGGAAGCAGCATCCATGATGTCACTCATTAGTACCACTTTTAAGCCTCAAGATGAACCTTTTAGCCATGACAGACTTAGCTTTGGGTAAAAGGTTGTCAATCGCAAATCATTAGTTAATGAGTGGAGCCTGCTTTACACTCGTTTCTGACCCTGATCATAATTCACTAAATTAACTTACAGCAAAAGCAAAATATACACTAAAGTGACACAGGAGTCATGCTCTGCTTGCTTTTACTGGGAATGTGGATTTAAGGCACTTGCACATTGACTTCAGTAGAGCGGGGCCAATATTGGACTTTTAAGACCGATATCAAGATGTTATTTTTGTTGTAGATTTCTTGCTGTGTGGCAACAGTGCTAACCGCTAACCACTGCGTCACTTATATCAGGATGTAGAGACCATTTTCTCCCTCTTGGATACACAAAACCCAAACAGAATAACCTAGCATTTGTTATGCGCCCTGCCCGACTCTTCTTGGATCAGCTGGTTGTCGTATTTGTGGGGTCCCAAATGCGTATTACATAAAGGAAATTTGCATTTCTCTCTGGTGGCCAGACTATGCAACCACACAACTCATTTATCAGCCATTAATGCAGATACAGATAAATTAGCAAATAGCTAATATTGGCCAACAATACTGGCCCGCAGATAAATCAGTCAGATGAACCGGTTTTTAGACACGGATGCTATGCCCATCTTCTATATACAGTTTCTGTATTTAATGGACAGACAAGAGTGTGATATTGACCTTTTACATAATATCTCAGCCTAAATTATTATGATAATTAAAATATTAGAAGACAAACTGTAGGATAATGCAGTGATGTACCAGTGTTAAAGTAAGCGTTGCAGATGCTACCTGCCTTCACCGGGAAATTAGCTTAAATGTGATTTTTTATTTATTTTTTTTTAAATGAGGACCAACAGACTTGATGTAACAGACAGAAGTTACAGCTTTAGTGATACTAAGGGTCAGACACGACTCAAATCAAAAACTGGAACACATAATTACTGGCAACAGTAACTTACCCCCAGACTATGGCTGAATCCAGTGCTTGGTGCAGGGCTTGCAGCGCTGAGGTAACTGCTGACGGCCGATTCCTGACTGGCTGTTCCATAAAGGTCTGCCATCGGACCTGGGCTGCTTGTACCTAAAAATCCAGCAGAACGAGACGGGGTGGAGCCTGAAAGTAAAAAATAATGACGTCACAATAACGAGACATGAACCTGTCTAAACTATCATTTTAGTGCCAAGGTTAAGCGAGCAGAGGTTAGATTAATGAAGAGGACTTAACACAGATTAAAATGTAAATCTTCTAACCTGCAGGGAGAGAAAGTAATTTCTCTGTCTCACACTGGATGAGAAAAATCTCATTTTTAGACACACTAGCAGCACGGTTCATTGATTAGCATTAACAATCAGGTGATTCACCACTTATGCCCACACTGACACTTGCAGTTTAGACTAAAACTTGATAATAATTTGATTGCTGATATTTTTTTAAATTGATGATAAGTGCAGCTGAGGATGGTGAGAATAGTCTTTTGACCAGATGATGGATGTTGTGTTTAATGTCATTTGGTACCTCTGACTACTGCCGCTGCTGCCGCAGCTGCCATTGGTCCATATGCCGTGAGCGGAATGGCTAAAAAGGCAGAGAAGAAAAGATTAAGTTAAAACATATGATAGAGCAAATGTTAGATGTAAAAGGAAGCTAACAACTTTCAATAAAGAACTGCAGATTCTAGGATCATTTAACTTAAAACAGGGTCCATTGAGGTCACCAGAGGAGCCCTTTAAACCAAACACCTACTCCTTCCCCCATTACTGTCAGCAATCAGCCTACAGCTAGAAACCAAGGAGGACCGACAAACACAAACATGCAAACCAAAGAGTGATCATGTGTTGGTGCTATTGTGGGTGTGTAGCAGACTGACAACGTGCTGCTTGTAAAGTCCAGAGGAGGGACTGACTGACCTGTGAGCTCAGGGGGGTGGGGTGAAGTCAGAAGGGGAGTCCTCTCTAAGTGGAACTCTAAAACAGAAACATCAGAGTGCTGTTGAGACACACACCACCACTGCCAGCAAGGACAACACACACATATACACGCACACATGAAGCCAAGGGGAGGGGCAAATCACAGGTGAGAGGAAGTACACGCACAGGGCAGGTGCATGTTCTTAAAGGACGGAAAGATGTTTTACAGTCTAAGAAGTGGAGTTAAATGACACACAGTCATCCTGCTGAGACAGCAAAACAATAGAGCAAGAGTTACAGTTTGGTCGTCCAGGCTGATCATTTCAAATCATTCAGAAGAAAGAGTCACATTTTCTTTTACTGGAATCGTTTCCACATCACTAAAGTTCAATGTCATGCTAGCATGCATGCACACACACACTCAAGCAAAGCAGATGCAATTCCACTCCCTGATATTTACAAGCAGCCATTTCCACTCACTGTGTTTTATATGCTTCCATGGAAACATGTTTGTATTTGTGACAGTGTGTCTACTGGCTGTTCAACGTGACACTACTCCAGCTACTGACTTCATTCAGTTGACTCACTGACACAACACTCCACCTCATTATTCAATACATCCTGTGGAACGTGCGATTTCACACAAACTGGGACCTTTGTGTGAAATTCCCTCCAGCAGAAGGCTGCTGGGAGCAAACTGTGCAAATCAGTTCGGATTATTTACCTGATGTGTCCATTCTTTGTTTTATTAAACATGACCCTGAGCCACAGTCTTAGAAAGAGTCGTTTTAGTGGGCACCAGGCACTTCCAAAGGATGCACATCGACTAAAGATGGCTGTATCTTTATTCCCAGAAATAGGATTTTAAAAAGAATAGTCCTTAGGGTACAAGGAGCATAAAGTATATTGCGATTACCAGGAAACTGGTAGGTGTATCCAGGAGTGATGCCAGCATAGCTCCGACTGGTGTAGGTGGCAGTCTGAAAGCCTGGATAACCTGTGGGGAGAAAACTGGCGTTAATATGCGAACTGAGGCGTACATGGGATGTATCCCGAGTGAGGACAATTACACATGTGGTGAAATACTGAACACGAAATAGATAAACAGGAATGCATGCGTGTGTGCTGTTTTGCTGCCCCCTAACAGTGAAGCTTTGTACAATCCGTGACATGCAGGTGTGTGATATCCTACACCTGTGATCTGGATTTCCTCGCAAGGACGGGACTGGGCGGATTTCTGTCATTGTCTTCACTTACACTCTCAGCGGTGCTCATTACTCAGGGAATTTCTTTGTAATGCAAGCTGACACCTGAAGAACCTTCCTCAGGAGAACATTCAGGGGAATAACAATAATGTTACCCAGCATCAGCGCAACAGGATAACAAAAGTAATGTAAACATTTTTTTAAATCCTCACCTCAGAGAAAGAATTTGCCACCAAATCCTTTCTATGCACTGGATAATTAAAGAACTGAAACTGAAGAAAGTAGTTCTCAGATTGAACAGCAGGTGGTAGCACCAGCGTGGTTGTCAGTACAAGGGTAAAGGGTGTATTGTAGAGGATAATGTTCACAGTAATGGAGGTTTGAGACCTTCTTTTTTTTCAAAGGGCCATTTCACTCATTTTACAACCCAAGGATCGACTGGAAAAACCACTGGAAAATATTGTCTTTAGCTGCGTGAGGATCCACCCCAGCTGGTGAAGTTACAGGGATGCTGGCTTTAGTTCCAGTCCACAAAAACGAGACTACAGGTGCTACAAATCAGAGGAAACAGTTTCTAAAAGAAGGGATTAAAAGGTGCTATTTGGTTGCATAAATATAAGTGTATTTCAGCCACGTTACTGCGCTCCCTTACTGTACCCGCTGTGACTTTCTAAACTGTACACAAGTGTGGTATTCAAGCTTTAATATGTAAAGTTAACACATGTATTAAAGCGCCACAGAGGTCACAGCTTTTATGAGCTGCGCGGGGGAGAGTTATAAGCTGAAGCGAGCAGCCGGCTGCAGTGGTCAGCCTTCTCCCAGCGAGGCGCCGCGTGACCTTTGAGGAAGCTGGGCCTTTAATGCTGGAGCAGTTACCGTTGGGTTCATGTGCGCCGCCACATCCTTCCTGTCCTGATCGATGCCAACTTACCCAGCATACCGATGCCCAGCATGAAGGCGTCCATCCCATACGGCATCACCCGAGAGCGCCCCCTGGCCGAGCCGGTGGGGGACATCACCTCCTTGGGCTG